GCTGCGACATCGGCGAGTTCATTGCCTTTGATGCCAGCATGTCTAGGCACCCAGCAGTATACAATAGAAAAACGTGCGTTTCTCAGACGGAAGTGTGCCTTTAAAATTTCTAAGACCAAAGGGTGGCTGGTATTTGTATTTATTGATTCAAGAGCATTCAGAGAGTCAGAGTAGATGATGAACTTTCTGCTATTCTGCCTAGAGATAAAGATTAAGGAATTCAAAATGGCAAAAGTTTCTGCATTAAAGACATATGCAGCCTTATGAAGTTTACTACACTTGATTTGATTTCTTTATCACAAACAAAAGCTGCCCCAATATGATCATGATTCTTTGAGCCATCAGTAAAAATTGCTTTATAGTTAGAATAACTGCTTCTATGCTCCAGGAAAATTTGTTGATATTGGACATCATTGGTAATGCTCTTCTTTAGTTCTCCAAAACACAGGGACCGAAAGAAATGGTGTTAAGAAACATCAGCATTACTAGTAAATACTGCAATCCATAATAATTGCTTACTATTTAAAAAAACACAAATAATTTTTTATTAATTGGAAATTTTAGTTCTGTTACCTTCCTTCTGCTATTTATATTTTCAAACACTACTAATTCATGTCTTTTCTTAAATAGTGCTGTCATATATGTATTTTGTTAGGTTATTATTTCATTTTAGATATGAATATGAGAAGTTATTAGATTTAGGTATATTTGTATGAAATCTTTTTGACCACATTTATTAACTACTTTATACGGTCTTTCATTTGCATATCTTAGAGATATAGAAGTTAATGGTTATATTTTTTACTGTGAAACGCGAATAAATTTATACTTGAGTTCAGGTAAAATACCGATAGCGTTACCTTAAGAACCACTTCCTAATTTATCATGGCAGGGACAATTTTCAAGGTCTCAGATTTAACAGAAATAAATGTGATAATGCTGTTATCAGAAAAGCTCTTTTTTTATTTATTTATTTTATATTTTTTTTTAATTTTTATTTTTTTTATCCACATATATATCTTTACTTTTATTTATATCTAATTGAGTTTTATTTACTTAAAACCTTCTACTATTCATGCTATATTTAAATAACCACTTTAATGATTACTCTCACTTAAAGAAAAAAAAATGATGAGAATCTTAAATAATCCGTTAACTTAGAATTTAAGTTATTTAAAAAATATATTTTAAAGTACTGAAAATAATTAAGTTATTATTAATTATGCATATTTAGTCTAAGAAAAATTTAAAAACTATAGTTTAAAGTACTGAAAATAATTAAAGCTATTATTAATTATGCATATTTAGTCTAAAGAGAAAAAGTTGTATCATCTTCTGGTTTTCAAGAGATGATAAAATATGTTAAACTTTAGATAAATACAAGGAATACAAAATTTTATAAAAGAAGAAAAATATGTACTTATTAAGCTTATTTTTCTGCATAAATCAATATGTAACACAAGGACACAATAACGGCATTTTCACAACTGTTGCAAAAAGGTGGAAGTTGGCGAACATTTAGGCGTCGTTTAAGACGTCGTGAAACGATGCTTTCACATCCAAAATATCACCTGACGAAAGACGCAATAATGACGTCTATGCGACAAAGACCTTCATATGCAAAGACGTAGTAAAGACGTTCTTTGCAACGGTTGCAAAACAGTGGAGTTTCGCGGACATCTGGGCATCTTAAAGACAACATATTGCAACGTTTTTTGCAACACGACTCGCGACCAGTTTGCAACGTCGTTATGACGTTGCCGTGTTACTTGGGATGCCATTAAAAGAGAAGAAATGCTCCTACACTGCATGATTTTTCATTTTTCCTTGAAAAATCACATGTCTATACTTGAATATAATGTGAAAGCATGAAAAAAATATTTTTTTTTAAATTAACTTTAAATAGTCACTGCTTTTTAATGAGATACATTCCGCTGACTTTATAGATCACGTGACAATGCAGATGACCTCGGAGATCACGTGACTTATGTACAGTAATGCAAAAAAGTAAGGTCATTCTTCCTCTTCTTCTCTTGCGGAATGTATCTCATTAAATACTAATTTATTGCCAAATGGCAACAACGTGCAGTTAAACATAATAAGTAAAAAAAAAATTAAACTATTCAAAATGTCTGCACCATACATTCAACAGAGAAAAACTGCTTTAAATGATAGTCTCTAAACACAGTTTCTCTCTTTGTAAAAACATAAACGAACTGACATTTGGTGCACTGTACTCTAGTAAATCCTTTGCAACTCAACATTTTGCATCATTGTTTATTTGTACAGTACCAATGATATGAATGATGAACCAGATATTAGTACCAATGATAAATTCTGTCAAATACATATAACATCTTTTGGAGATTCTCATGAGCAAGATTTTTTGCTTGTTTTCCAATTATTTCTTCCTCTGTGGTTGATGGCCTCCCTTTTTTTTAGAGATTTTGTTTCTCCATGTAAACAAAGTTTGTGTTAACTGCAATCTAAAATTAATAAGTTTTATAGGCTTTTCAGTACTGAACTTTTGTTTGTGCACTCGCTTATACAACCAAGAATTGATAATTGCTAGGACTAACAGATGGTAGAACGACCGAAAATACTACTTTTTGCTTAGCATGATTATTTCATACCTTCCAAGTATCAAATAAGTCCACACCTCCCACGTGCTTATTATTATAACGTGAGGATAGTTTACTTTCACATGACACTTTTCTTTCCTGTCAAAGCACTGTGCTTCACTTACTAGTACCAGCAAATGTGAACAGCATTTATGACGTTTTTGTTATCTTTCCATGACACATCTGACAGTTCACAATCATCATATTCAGCCACAAACTCGGCGACAGATCCACGAACCTACAGCTTCAGTTCCTTATCAGTTGAGAGTTTGCAGGCTGGAATTCTATTTCTTCTAATAGTTCCAAAACATAAAATTCCTTTTTTTTCTTCAAATATGCTTGTAAAGGAACAGACGTGTAATAATTATCATAATAAAGTTTGTGATTAACATTTTCTTGAACAGGACAAGTTAATCTAATAACTATGTTACTATTAGCTCCTAAATAAAACTCTTGAAAAAAAAAGTTACACTATGTCCTTTGCCACCAAAAATCTCGAAATTGTATGCAAATCCTGATCTTCCACTAAAAATGAAAAGTTTGTAACAATATTTATTGGGCTTATCAGGCATATACAGTTTTAAATGGTGTCTATGTTTAGTAGCACACATTTTTTCATCGACATACAAGGATTCTTCCATAGCAATGGAAAGAAAAAATTTTTGAAGTTGATTAATCAAAGGTCTCAGTTTGTTAAATTTATACTGGTCTCCTTGCAAATCAGTTGAAAATGCATTATTATCATTGGAATGATATCTTCTAAATGTTTTTAAATCTTATTATCTTCTAAATTTTTTTAATTCGTTAACTGCCATAGAATTTTTTATGAGAGATATTTCAACAACAAACCTTGTTGTTGGATAAGGCTTTGATATTTGTCACTGAACTTAAAATACAAATTCTCTAATACTCTCTTTTGATGCTGTTACGTTGATGGGTTTTTTTCAAATTGACTGCTGTAGACTATATAAAATAGTTTGTTCGGTAATAAAAGTTCTCACTTCAGGAGGGGAAAATATGAAAAAAAAAAAAAAAAAAATCTTTCCAAATTCAAAATATTTTGTGTTAGCTGTGTATCTCCACTGAAATTATGAATTCAGGATTTATTTTCAAAGACTTTTTCCTCCATTCAAGTTTAATTTTTTTCTTTTCAGCATTGTTAGTTTTTTTTCTCTGATGTCTCGTTACCTGAAGTTGAACTTTCATACTGAATATTCTATTCATTTCCAGAAAATTCTAGATAGTTTTCCCACTCAGAACTATCCTCTTAATTTCTATTAAAGAGAACATTAGGAATAAATGTAGGATCTTCATCACTATTATCCAAAGTTTCATTGCTTCCACTTGAAAGAGCATTCCATATTTCCTCTGTCAATGATTTCTTTTTACCATCTGTATCAACAAACAAACCTATTTGCTTCCATTATTTAAACTTATTTAATTTTAAAAAAAGAAATAAATTACTTCCAATCCTATCAAAAACACTCATAATTAAAACAGAAAAAAGGAACAAACAACAAGCTGCATGAACAAAGGAAAGAAAAAAATCTAGAGGAAGAAATATAAACAAAGCATGCTTTCTGAACTACAGTACTGAGTTGAACTGTTCACTGCATCCTTCCCACATAATGTTGCCAAATGGCTAGAGATATATATTATGGCCTAATTTTTTTAATGTTAGCTTTTACATAAGAAGACTGTTAAATGGAAGATAAATGTTACTTTTATGCATATGATTATTTTAGTGTTCATAGAAAAACATTTACCGTATTTGAAGGCATATAAGACGCACTTCTTTTCCTAAATTTGGTCTCAAAAAACGTTACCTGCGTCTTATACGTGAAGGACACATGTTAACTTTCAATACTGAATGCTATTTTTAGCCCGGATAAAGGTCTAGACACACATAACTTTTTCTACATCTAAACTACATGTATGTGGCCTTCTAAATAAGGGTGCGTCTTATATGCCAGTGCGTCTTATATGCCGTCAAATATAGTAATTCTAAATAGCACTTGCTAAAATTGGTCATTCAAATTATTTGAAATGTCTATCCCATGATCTAATTTACTGTTGCATTACAGGTAAACAGCCATTTCTTGAGAATAAAAAAGTTAAAATTCAATTAAAGATGTCCAAAACTTGCTCTTGATGCACAGTGTTGGCTCAATTTTGCTGGTCATTAAGAAGACAAATCACCTGTGTAGCCATTTGGCAACATGATGCAGTGTAGGGTTACGTAAGACCAAATATGTTGGTTATACCTTTCATAAAAAGTTCAACTGTTCATGATAAATAAACAAACATTACTGGTTACGTATATACATAGAAAAATATTTCTTCAGTTATTTGATATTTTCAAAATGAGGTATAAGAACATACTTTTCATAATTATATTATTTAATGCCAAAAGTAACTAATATACAGAAATATTTACACAAATTATTTATTTACATAGTAAAATTCCAAATGTTTCTAGTGATCAAAAATAATTTATACAAAATGATCATGTGCAAATATTTTATCAGCAAATTCCTTTTCCCTTTTCTGAAACTAAGAAATGGAAATATCTTTTGTTTTCTATGAATTTAAACTTTCTTCTTTCTTATAACAGGAGGCGAAGCTACTGTTTCTTGATTGCTTCTGTGCATAATGATGAGACCAGTAATTATTAACATAGTCCCCATCCACCAAAGAAAAGACAAGGATTCTCCAAAAAATACTTGTCCATAAATAGCCTAATAAAAGAACAAGTGTAAATCAACAATATATAAGAAATGAAACTGACAAAACAGTTTTTTGCACTAAAAAACAAAAATTATGCTACAGCATAAGAATAAAAAGAAATGTGCCACTCAATCTGAAAAAAAATTTGTTAAAACATAATTCTTCCCACTATTACATTTAAATCATGCAAAAATGTTTTTCTATTCAGTAATGGATTCCAATCAAAAGTCAAGAAGATTATCTACTTGAGTTTCTATTTATTTTAATTATTCAGATAAAAATCTATATAAAAAGGTGTCAATACAAATTGATGAAAAAAGAATATTTCACATGAATGCAAAGTGTTACAAACTGTATATAATCAATACTTACCAAATGATATACTGGTAATACTTAATGGAAAACATTGCTAATTTATACTATTTCTTGAGAATTTTTAAATTTAAAATGTGAAACCTGATATAAAATAATCTGCACAGCTTTATGGTGTTACTTAAAGCTTAACAGATAATAATGATTTAATGATATGTACAAAAGCCGTTTAATAGGAATTCACAAATTAATGTAGCATGGTAATATCATAATCATCATCTACATTAAAATAAGTATGCATTTAAGCTTGTAAGGATCTTAAGTTTTACTAACGTTTATTTTATTTTAAATCTTTACTATCACTTCTTATTTTCTACTTCCGGCCAGAATTATAAGCGTTAAGGATTTTATGCAAAGTTTGTCTGGCGAACGCCAAGTACTTAAGTTGTGGCTTTTTTGCCAAGCAAGAGAGAGAGGAAGCAGTAAGTCAACGCAGGCCGCTTACCTTAGAAGTTACGCAGTTGCTGTTCGCCTTCCAGGCCAGAGGTTTTAATCCTCTTGATAAATTAAACGTATTGTAGTGTTCACAGTCTCTGTGCTACATACGCTTCCTGTTATTATAAGGCCAATCTTCCACGTGTATTATTCTAAAGTTAAATTAGAGTTTAGTTTTATTTTTATACTTTTTTTTACGTTAGACCCCGAGTGGAGGGTCATTGTATTCCGAAGTACGGAAGTCATTGTATATAGAGAAAAAATAAAGGGTTTTGTATACCCTTCGTCTGTATCCTGTCTACTTACTACAATTAGTGAACATAGCTTTAGTAAGCTCTCTGTTCCTAGTCAGGTCCTTGTATGTTCCCGAAGAAGGTTAGAAGGAACATTGAACCTGATAAGCTGCTCTGATCACAACTGGAATAATTATGATAGTTACGAACAAATATAATTTTCTTAATAGAAAAATTTTAAAGGTTACGAAGGTGAACAAATATATATATATATATATATATATACAGGGTGCCCATGAAGACCATGCAAACTCTGTATTGCCAGATTCCTCGCTTGAAATACACAAAAAGTACCCAAAGAAGTGTACCTGTACAACCCATAGTTTTCAAGATAAATGCGAAAAAAAAGTATGACATCATATATGGTGCTAGAAAAATATTGTTGGCAACATGAACATTGGTATTTGCATACATTTACATAGGTTGTTCAAAATGCCCACTGCGCGTATCGAGGTATGCATGCACACGCCGTGGAATGCCTGACTTTACGTGTTGCACCAGCATGAAGACAGGCAACTAAGTCTCTTTTTATAGTAATTAGGTCTTCATAGACCAATTCCTTCAGATGGCGTGATAGGGAAAAAAATTCAGAAGTATCAGATCTGCCGATCGTGCCTGTCACAGACATGGAAACTAAGTCCAATCCAACCAACCATATATATAGAAATGCGCTGGAACTCCATCATGCTCGGACTATAGGCCATGTACTGCCGCTAAGCATACGTCATCTAGGTTAATTGGTTAATACACTACGTTAATAATACACTATGTTTAATTGATTAATACCATTCTGAGCTAACACTCCTTTGGACTAAAAAAAATTCTAAGAAAAAAATGTTTTTAGTTTATTTTTATGTCTCATATCCACAATTTTTCGACTTTTTATAAATTTTTAAAGTTAGGATTTCCAAAAAAGCCTAACATGATTAAAAAAAAAAGAAAAAAAAAGAAGAGAGAGAAAGTCATTTTCAGATAAAACGCTAAAAAATAAATCAGAATCAATTAACTGAAGTTAAGAAACATGACACAACTCAAATTTTGCATGCTGTGTGTCTAGAAGCGTTATGAACCATTCATAAATGGTGTGTATTGGTGTATTTAATTATGGCAAAGCACACTAGGGCTATCTGCCTAAGGGGAGAGATGCCTTCGTGGAGGACTTTCTAAGGGAAACTGGCTCGTATAGACGTCACACATGGGGAAAACCACGAAAACACCCATGCAGCCAGCCCGTTCGCGCCATTCATAAATTAACTTTCACATTAAATCAATTATGAACAGTTCATAAAAAATTGCATTTTCTTCATTAAAATTTTGTGAAAGTGTCTATTTATATGTTGCTATTTATTTTCTATTAAATTAATGTTATCAAAATAGCCATGAACAAATATGATCCCATTAAACAGCACCTGGAGCATTACTCCGTGAAATTTTTAAGCGGATGTAACACATCTTCTGTATCTAATTTATTACAGCATATTTTACTAGTTGAAATTTTAGAGACCTTTATATTTACTGAGGATTGCCAGTAGAATGTATAAAATTACGATTTAAAAAAAGTTAATGATTTTTTTTTTTCATTTAAATCAAATTTTTTTTTTAATTTTTCCTACATTAACTTATTAAATGGTTAACATGCATTAGAGGTTTTCAGAGTAATTAAAACTCTAATTAGATGATACTAAGATGCATAATACATATTTTAACATGTAAATTTGTATAATACTTTACAATTAGATATAATATGAATTATATATAATTTTATTAATTAATAGCATGAAAAAAATACCTTCACAGCTTTCTCGCATTAATAACTAGCAAAATCCCTTAAATCTAAATTTACCAGAACATTTACTAACTAATAAATAATGATTCTTGTAGTTACATATTTTAATTAAAAACAATCTCAGTCAATATAATAATAGGAATGTCATGTGTATTTACAATCTACATAACATGTTCACAGCAATTTAATACATTAAATCTGCATTACTGACATTTACTACTAATGCTTTAAAAACAAGGGGCGAAATCATTTTCCTGCCTTTCAGCCTCTAACCCAACTGATTTCTTAACTTTTATGTACAATTCCCAAAACAGAAAGCATTCTTTCAATCCTTCTTGATGAAGCTCTTGTAGTGCTTAATATTACAATGACACCCAGTTCTTTGCATTCTTTCATAAGAGTTATTCATTTCTACCACTCAAGTATGGCCACTGACTTGACTGCCTAATTTTCAATAAAGGTTCTGCAGAAAAGCATATCATTAATTGCACAATTTCAATCTAATACTGAATAAAGCAGTGTCTGCACTTTTTCCTTCTACTAATTCCAATTTCTGTTCATTTTCATTTGTTGTAAGATCTTTAAGAAATAATTTTATGAATGCTTTATAGAATTTTTTAACTGTTTTCAAGATCTATGCAAAACAGCTTCAACAATGGTGCAATTATCCTTCTGAAATTTAGGGACTAACTGGCTTCAAACAAAATAGTAGAGCTACATTTTATTTGATTGCCATACTAAGAATCTTAATTTAAATATTCCTGTCTATTGTATCTTGAATCTCTTTCATCATTTGCATGAAAACTGGCCAGTTCTTTACACATAGCTTTCATGGGAATTGCATACCAAATTCCAACACACCTCAAATGATATACTTAATATGTTGTATAATAACATATACTGTATTCATCAAATTTGGATTGAGGAAGCTGGTCATTTCAGAATTATTTTGAATATTATGCTTAGTAAAACTTGATATATTTAAACGTTTGGCCAATAAAATTAAATGCATGAGCTGCAACCATAAGATAAAAGCTGAAACAGTTTTCTGATTCTTTTCTCATTGTTGCCTCACTTCTCTCACTATTTGTTGCACTATCAATAACAAAACTATGAATTTTGCATTTATTTTCAGCTTAACAGCAGAGATTAATAAATCTTCACTTGCATGTGATGCTAATGGCATTTCTATTTTTTTTTTATCTATTCAGTTACATCTATTGTACACACACATATGCAGTTTATAGGTTTATTGGTTGTGGATATTAGATCAACTGTCTAATATCATGCATACTGTCTGATTAAATAAAACACTACTATATTTCTCTATTTATTCTTCATATACAATATCAGTTAATAATTTATCACTTAAGCAAAATTTATATGAGGCATGCATTTAATATGTAGCATCTCCATTAATTTTATTAAATAGGGGATTTTCTATGCCATACTCTGTGTTTTGAATTAAGGTACTTATCTTCAGATTCATGCTTGAAATTAGATGGACAAGGAAGTAACACATTTTTCAGCTTTGTATTAACACAAATTATTTAAATTACAAGATTTACAAAAAGAGAAAGCTTCTATTTTTTGTATTCCGGAATTAAAATCTTTGGAAGTATTGCATGTTACCTTGATCTTTGATTTTAAGACATTTCCAGTTATTTAATAAAATGGGAAAATATCTGATTTTAATAAAAAAAAATTTTTAAACCTGCTGATTAAAATAGTTGACATCCTCTTTGCCTACAATACTAAATGCATTTTATTAGCAAAACAAATTATCGCATTACTTATCTAAAATCAATATTAAAGGAAAGTAAGCCTAAATGCACCATTTTTCAAACATTCCACATAGCAATAAAAATTTCATAAAGTACAGCTTATGATACAAGCTAAGAAAGTTTTTAGCATACTACGTGATATAAGCTCTTCATATTTATTACAAAGGGCATTTTGAAAGCATGTTATAAACAAAAGCCATTATTTAAAATACAAAACAGGATAATACAGTAGATAAATCACATCTTTGAAACAAAAGAAATAATTGTGTAATAAAGAAATTAACAAGAATCACTGATCTCCTGATGTTTGTGTAACTATGTATCACAAAACATTAGACTAACATAAAATATGCAAAAAAAATTCAGGAAAAATATAACTGACATTTTGAAAACATAATTCAAAAACATTCCGACCTAAAAACTATATAATATTAGTTTTAACATTTAATATATTACATATGCCCTCATTTAATGCTAATATTTATAACACATTAAAGCCTCATGTATTTAAAGTCATTACACATCCGTTTGCCTATTTGGATATCAGTTGACACCTTCTGATACCCCATCAATAATATTCTTTACAATTTTGCTTTTCTGAAACTGTTATTTGCAAGTAATAACTGTCACTTGTTAAAATAAAAGCTGACAATTGATGGAAAAAAAATCATGTGCTTTTACACAGTTCATATGAAAGCAGAGAAAAGTAACAGAGAATAACAACCTATTTCAAGCAATTTTCATTGCAATTGCCAGATAATGCTGGTGGAAACTTTAATGGATCTATTTAATTTCTAGCTATCTAATTGATTCAATGGATCTACAGATGTTTAAAACTATTTTATCACCATAAGTATCAAATTGTTGCTCCTGCATCAATGGATGCTGGCTAATACCTAAATACCACATTTTACTGTATATAACTGATGTATTGATTTTTTTATTTTAACTGATAGCCTCATAGGTACCTCTTATCTTGCCATAAAATTTTATTGCATTAATTTACTTCTCTCTCCTACCTATGTCCATATGTGGTGTTTCAATGCAGATTATCCTTTAGAAATGGAAATTTAATATTACAGATACATTAACAGAAATCATTTGGAAAACGTTTAGGGTATAGTAAAATGCTAACAGAAAAGCACATAAAAAACTTCAGAATACTTAACTGCAAAAAAGAAATTAGCAGCTGTGTTAGTAACTGTGGCTTCCAGAGTAGTGGAGCACATCCTTAACGCTTTTGTAAAGAGTGTCCACATTAAGGCATTTAAAAGTAGCATTGCTAAGAAAAATCCCACTCTTGTAACAAAGAGCACCTGAAAAATAAATATATAAAGAATGTTTCACTGACATGCATAATGCAGTCACAGATTAATATTGCAAAAAATTTTGAGAATAGAAAATTGTGAATCAGAAGATTAGAAATTCTTATAGTAAACAAAAAGATAATAAGTTGTTTTGCAAATAAAACATATCAATACCAAAGCTATTAATTCCAAATAATATAAAGCTGACAACTATAAATCTTTAGTTGGCTATAGATTAAATTGACACAGGTCTAATGACAAGTTAATAAAATTTATCAAAAGAAACACTTCACAGTTCTGGAACTTTTCACAGGAACAATCCTACAAGTGTTCACAGTATCCCACAGTACAATCAGTAGGTACACTTCAAACTACTAAGAATGTTAAACACAATGCAATGCAAAGCACATCTAAAAGTTGAAGCTTTCAACACTCTAAAGTCGCTTGGAACTCACAACAACAGCAACCGACAGCAAATGCTCTCTCAGTTCTTATCATGTTTTCATCTGGCCGCCGAGATATTTCAAGTACTTTCTGCTAATCGAAATCACTGGAAGGCATATAAGGGCCGAATAATGGTTTCAGCCAATACAGTGATCAATTACAGAAGCTGTTACGTTGATACAGAGACCGGACCAAAATGTTTTCGGCAATTTGTTGCCAAATTTGGGGATTAAAATTAGTTGCCAAACCGTTGCCTGCTTGGCGATACCTCGCCAATTTAGTGAGATAGTCATTTACTCAATGTTAAATAGGCTTGCCCCTGTATTCTTATTTTTCCAGCAATCTTCAAAACTCTAGATTTTCAAGTTATATTATACAAAAAAAATATAACATTTTCACACATACCTGCACTAAAACAATCTATCTATGTACAAAATTTGTAACATTCTCCCCTCGCAAGGCCTGTAAAGTACTGGGCAGTACAATCAGTAGACAGGAAGCCATAGCTACAACTTAAGCAAATCAATGCAACACTTAAAGAATAATTTCGGTAAATAACATAAAACTAATCAAATAACTAAGTCATCAAATGAGTTCATAAATTTTTAAATTTAGAACCATTGTCTAAGTATACTATTTACATTATATTCACATTATATGCACTACGGAGACTACGTACTATGGCCATAGTAAGGGGTTAGGCAGACGTAATGAATGACTCTTAGGTTTAAAATTTTGATGATTAACGGAACCAAACTACGACATTGTTTCTTCTGTTCAGGATTGTGTAAGAACCGTTCCAAGATGACTGTACTTTAGCAGAGAGTCAAACTTGATTCCATAACCACACCTTGTCAACTTCGTTGAATGGATGTCCTGTAGCTCTCATGTCCTATCGGGTCTTCATTTTCTCCATCGTTACGCTGACTCGCTCTCATGCAAAATTGTGCATTACTTCTAACTGCGCCTGGAGATTTTGGATGCACTCTTTAGGCATTGAAGACGCATCTCGAGGGATACGAAATAAGAGATCACATGGCAGGCAAAGGTCATGACCGAAGAGTATCTGCGATTGGGAATACTTGGTAGTCTCGTGGACAGCACTACGATAAGCCAGTATGAACAGTGGTAACTTCTTGTCCCAGTCCTGTTGAATTCCAGGCACCATTAGTAAGAAGTTATTAAGGATGGTTCGATTAAACCTCTCTACCATGCTGTCTGACTGGCAATGTAAAGATGTCCTTTGAGTTTTTTCGATGTCGAATAGATTCCAGGGTTCTTTAATTACAGCCGAGATAAAATTTCTTCCTTTATCGGAATGTATCTAAAGAGGCACTCCATACCTGGATTCCAATGTTGTATCATTAACTCTGCTATTCTGACAGCCTTTTGATCAGGAAAAGGATATGTTTCAAGGCAGTTGGTGAAGTAATCAATGATCACGAGAATGTATCTGTTATCTTCAGCAGTTCGTTGCAGACATCACAAGATGTCAAGGGCGATACGTTCAAATGACACTCCTACACTGTAACTTCCCTTAGCACCGTTTTTTTGGTCCTCTGCAACTCGAACAAGCATCACATGATTGACACCATATTTGCACGTCAGTCCTTCCAATACTCCAGTAGAAGCATTCTTAAACTCTATGCAAATCCTTCATTATTCCAAAGTGACCCCTTGTAGGGCTGCTATGTGGTCCTTTAGAGAAATCATCTAGGATAAGGGATCTTGGAAGTATCAGCTGCCATCAGAAAATCTTTCCATTATCCAACTCAGACTTCCGGTACATGACACCTCAAATATGAAGCGAGTCCCAAAGAAAGCAATATTTTTTCTTCATACAACTATAGATCAAAATGTCCTGCCAGGTAGCTTTTAAATTAGAAGATTCCATTAAATCAATTATGAGTTTAATGTTGCCGTCTTCCAGCTGGTCTTTTCTGATTTCTTCATCACTCCATTGGTCTTGATCAGCCGATGCTGAAGATGTAACTTGTTATGTGACCAGATTAAGCAGCTCGTATTTCACTTCGAAGCTGGAACAATATTGGCATCTTTCAGGGCCAGGTTTCTAGATAGGGCATTGGCATTTCCATGTGACGATCCTTTCCGATGACAGGGAGTTATGTCACATTCCTAGAGTCTCAGTTGAATCAAACAGGTGTAAAGTACTTTAAACATAAATATTAAGTACCCTAAACAAAAGTATTAATCAATCTGTCAGTAAATGTAAACTGCACTATGAAATGTGTATGATATGTATGATATGTACCATGCAAGTATTAATTAATATTATTAATTAATAATTAAATTCTTAGAAATGTAATTTGTATTATGTAATGCGTGAACTATGTACAATGCAAGTCTTCTCAGTAAATATAAGCTGTACTATGTAATGTATATAATATGCACCATGCAAACCTGTAAACAATAATGAATGCGTAGTGTTAAACTATGTGTTAACCTAAATACCTAAGATGTAAAGTATCTTTAACATAAGTATTAATCAATCTCTCTGTGTGTAATATGTACCATGCAAGTCTGTACATAATAATGAATGCATAGAGTTAACCTAAGTATCTAATCATGTATAATTAACGTAAATATTGAACCTTACGGATGCAAAGAACCTTAAACATAAGTCATATTCAATTTCCCAGTAAATGTAATGTGTAATATGAAATGTGTGAAATATGTACCATGCAATATGAATGTAAATGCACCATGCAAGTATGAATAAGCAAGTCCGAATATGGTACGGCATGTGTAATAGGCGTGCAAGTCAGAGTATGGCAATATGTACCATGCAAGTCTGAATGGGTAGCGATAACCTAAGTACCTAATTATGTCATTCTAGATAAGGGCGGGCGTGGTGCTCATACCAATCAACCGTAACGGTAGAGGGATGGTGCCCACGTCCTCCGTCACTCACTCACTCACTCACCAGGCTATTTGGCCTTCGGAATTCTTGAAATTTAATAGCCATGTCAATGATGCATGATCTGAAAAGAGCACGAATTTTTGCCGTATATATAGTTTGTTTTGTTTGTTTGTGTAATTATGGCAAAGCCTCGAGGGCTATCTGCCTAAGGGGAGAGATGCCTTCATGGAGGACTTTCTAAGGGAAACTGGCTTGTATACATGTTACACATGGGGAAAACGCCGTATATATAGTGATTAAAATGTTCTACAGCTTTAACTATGGCAAGCAACCCTTTCCTGGTAACACAGTAATTATATTCCAGTTTAGACAGACTCTTGCTTGAGTAGGCCAGGACATGTTCTTGACAGTTTCTTTCTTGGGACAAAACAGCACCGATACTCTGAGTGCTTGTTAATGGTTTGTCACTCAGAGGATGCGTCAGTATTAGAGCAAATGTAAAAGTTTCCTTCAATTTGTTAAATGCATCCTCACATTCTTTGATCCACGAGTATTTTCGCTTGCTCTCTGTCAGCTTATGAAGGAGTTTTGCGATAGAAGAAAAATCCTTCACAAATCTTCTATAATAGGTGCAATAGCCCAGGAAACTTCTTAGTTGATGGATATTTTCAGGGTGTCTGAAATTTTTAAATGCTGACACTTATTTATACGTAGACATACCTTTGGCAAAGATAACATGTCTATGATAAGTCACTTCCTGTCTGAAAAATTTACATTTACCAGTACTCAACTTTAAATTGGCTTGTTTCAGTTTCTGAAGCACATTTCTAAGATTTCATAGAATGTTCTTCAAAACTCTTCCCGATGATGATTATATCATACAGATGTATCAGATAAGCTTCATAGGAAAGACCTGTCAACGCGGTCTCCATGAGGCATTCAAATGTTGCCGACATATTGCATAAGCCAAATGGCGCCTTGAACTTCCAAAGGCCTTTGTCCTGCAGTAAAAGCCATCTTTTTTTCGCTCATCAGGATGTATATTTACGTGCCAATATCCACTGTTTAGATCAAACTTCGAAACACACTTGCTTTTGGAAAGAATGTGAAAAATACCATCAATTTTAGGAAAACGGCAGATGTCTGTTATATATGTAACTGTAACTGTATCTATTATTATCTTTAACCATAAACCCAACACATATAAAATACAACACATGGCGCAGGCCGTCGTTGATTAAAAAAGAAAATCTTTTCTGAAGAACCATGCAGCCTCGGTAAAGATGTTCTAAACAAAAACATCATGGGAAGTTGTTTACTGTGAAATCGAAACTTATATCGCTGGTAAATGAGTTGTTTATTTTTATTGGAAGTGGCTAAAAATACGTATATATAAACTATTTAAAGTCCTAAATTAAATATGGATGGATTAAAGCCACCAAGTAATCTAAGTTTCGAAGGAAATTTAAGCAAAAATTGGAAGAAATGGAAACAAAAATTCCAAATTTATATGTTAGCGTCTGGTGGTATTACTAAATCACCTGAAATTAAAGTAGCTATTTTATTGCATATAATTGGTGAAGAAGCACTTGAAAATTTAATAATACTTTTAATTTAAGTGAAGAAGATAAGAAGGATGTTGACAAAGTAATTGAAGCTTTCGAAAATTTTTGCATACCGAAAG